ATTCACGTTTTATCAGTTTCTGCTTTGTTTCTCTTGCTGACGTGGTAACTCTCTCTCTCCTGCACTCATTCCGTCACTCACCCTGCCTTCACTCTGGTGTTTATCATCGTTTCGGAAAACTGTTCCGGGGTTGTCTCATTATATTTGCAGGCAAATTCACTTTGATACTGGCTTCTAAAAATCCGTCCCTAGCTGTGCTTAGGTTAGATGTTGCATTAGTCTTCTCTTCTTCAGTTTGTCTGTGTCACTTGGTAAACTGCTTGTGTAAAGAGGAAATGGTGAAGAAGCTACAGAAACCCCCTCAAGAAGTTAATGCATAGGCTCTGGTAACCAAGGAAGATCATGTAATTCTTCTTCTAAACAGCCAAGTGTTACGACTATCAAAAGGCAGAAGTTTCTGACTGGAAAATTTTTTTATGGTGAGGTTTTAAGCTGAGCACACAAACTGTGTGGCCATTGACAAGATAAGTTTTCCATGCCAAAAAAAGAACCTTCTCCTTCTCAGAGTAGTACTCCAAAACAAACATGGGAAATTGTGGGTGTCCTGAATCTAATGGTGTACTGGTCCCTACAGCTGAGATCAAGGCAGCTTTCACTGCGTGGTTGCCTCATGGTATATACTCATTTTCTTGTGCAAACTGTTAAAGGTTTTTATTGCTTGCTCACTACTGAGTAACCTTGAGTAACCTGCTATTTCTGGAAATAAATATCAAGTGCTGTAAAACTGATTTCCTTCCAGAGAAAAAGCAATCGAGGCCTGTAACGCTGAGAGTTTTACGCGTGCACGTGATGCAGTCGGGGCCTGGGGAAGGTGAAGAATACCTTCCCCGGCAGGGCTGTCAGAACTTCCCCCTGAAGTCACAGCCCTTCACCCTCTGCTTGGCCATGGGAGAGGACCTGCTGCCTCATGTGGAGAGGGGAGGGAGGACAACTGTCCCGGAGGAGTAATGAAAAGGCCATGTGTAACACAAATTGCTGTGGTGCCGGTGCCAAAACTGAAACTTCTCAAGGTGAGAGGACACCACGTGTGAGGAGCAGAGGCGCTCCGGTTCTCCTTGAGATGAAGCATCTTCTGCTGCTGCTTCAGGAAGGAAAGAAACTGAAATTTTGCAGCTCTGTCCAGAAGAACCGCAAAGGGAAAAAGTCAAGATATAGAGGGGGAGGGCAAAGCAGGGGGAAGGGCTTTAATAGCTGTGGGTACACAAGTTCGGACACCTGAGTTTCTCAGAAAAAGATTTGTCTTATTCCAACTGTAGTGCTTTTTCAGTCTCCTTCGTTCTTGCAGTTGTTTATCTGAAAGAGAATTTTTTGGGGGGATAATAGTACTAACAATTTTAGATAGGTATAAGCAAGATGTGTTACAGAATCTGCAGCTCATTGGAGTTGGGTGCCACTGTCAGGCGGACAGGGAACAGAGCCCAGCCGGGTCGGGGCATTTTGCCACGGCAGCTCACCCACATCGTGGGCTAGTGCGGTCAGGGATGGAGGCAGGTGAGGAGCAGGGCTGGAGGGTGTTGAGGAGATAGGAAAAATAACCCAGGCATGGGGGTGATCAAGCGCCAGGAGTCAGCTGAGTGTGGGGAGGGCTGTCAGAGGGCTGAGGAGGAGTGGGGGCACAGCCTTGCCGGCGAAGGCACCTGAGGAAGGACTGGGAACCCCTTCCACGGGAAACCCCCAAAGTGCATGGAGAGACCTTGGCTGGTGACGGGGTGTTTGTGCTGGGGGAGGCTAGAGCTACAGAGGTACTGGAGGGAGAAAATACCTTGGTCCTGCTGGTAGAAGAGTCTTGGTTTCTTTGTGCTGCTACTTCACCTCACCCTATTTCTGATAATTTAGGTGGTCTTGCTTGTCCAGATGTAAGATAACAAAAGAGATTTGGAGTGTGACCTCTCTGGGAGTCCAGAATTAGCCAGCCACAGCTGCTGTGCAGTGGTGCAAGGGCTTAATTTTTAAAGAGCAGTTTGTTATAAAAATGTCAGGTTTTCTAGACTCTAAACCACAAAGTGTTGATGACTGGGGATGTCCCTGGTAAGGAGGGGTGGGAGAGAGAGATGAAGATAAATGAAGTTGCAGAGCAACTCCCTTCCCATCAGTCCAGGTGCTACTGTTTTCTTGTGAACATCTATCCTTCCTCTTTCTCTCCCCTGTTGACCAGAAAGGGGTGCTTTGCCTGACCCTCCCTTCTCCTGCTCTTCATCTGTGCAGAGAAAATGAATTTGAGGAAGCAGGTTGGATGGGGGCATGGAGGAAGAGGAGCGTTGCACAGGAAGCTTCAGTATTTTTCTTCATGTGACTGTTCTGGGGAAAATGGCCTACATATTTCTGCTCTGGTCTATCAAAATCATCCGCTACACTTCTAAAGGAATGTCACTTAAAAAGGGAAGCGGCAGTTGCGGTGTCTATAATCAACTTCTCACCACTTATGGCAGCATCTTAGATGAAAACAGAATGGCTTTCTCTTCAAATTCTATCCCAGAATTCTACTTCTTTCAGTATTCTGACTCTCTAATCCATCCTGCTCCCAGAACAAAGGGATTCACCTGATATAAAGACATATTATTTTCCATTAACAAACGTGGAACCACTCCATTTTCTGAATGGATTAAAAACTAACAGACCTCTGTACCCGAAGACCACAGTTATTTTATTAAAAGTGAGGGGAAAAGGGGAGTAGGACTTGGTAGATGTCTTTGGCAGAAAATAAATTAATCAAGGAGACTAAACTCCTAAATTAAAGTTACAAATATAAAAAAAGTGGATTTAGCATCTCTTGACAAGGTGTGGAAAGAAGAGTGAAAGTTCCACCACCTGCAGTATCTGTTTCCATCCTTTACTTAGAAGTAAACATGGTTAAGAAAAAAGTGGCACATGAGGTCATCTGCCAGCTCTCCTGCCACACTTTTTTTTTTTTTAAAACAGTAACTTGACAAGGTGTGGAAAGAAGAGTGAAAGTTCCACCACCTGCAGTATCTGTTTCCATCCTTTACTTAGAAGTAAACATGGTTAAGAAAAAAGTGGCACATGAGGTCATCTGCCAGCTCCTGTGCCACTTTTTTTTTTTTTAAAGCAGTAATCAACCCCGTACCTGGCAACCTTGGCTCTTAGACATTCAGAAATTCCAGATGAATGGCTCCGCATCACACGTGCAGCAAGTCCAACCTGTTTGAATGCACTGAAATTCCTATGCATGTGTGGGTGAAATGTGCATGGATGATAAAGCCCTGCATTTAGGACATGCAAGTGTCAGCAGCTTTTGCATCAGACCTGCCCTTTTCCCTCTGCCCTCGAAAAAGAGGGAAGAACCTATTCATTTTTGAAGTCTTTAAAGAGCGACCATGCCAATCCATCCTTGTGAATGAAAGGAGTGACTCTGTTTCTGTGTTTCAACTCAACTACAAGTAAAATAAGCAGTTAGGCTCTTCAGTCTTGTTAGCTATTAAAAATGCTTTAAAATCCTTTATGGTTTATCATAATAGTGGCTGTTCATGTTGATTATATGGGATTACGGGTCAGAAATCACTCCTGAAGGGGTTTAGACTTTAGGGAAGGGGAGAGGTGAGGGAAACTGATTTGTTCACTTCTAAACTATAATTTGCAGAAGACAAACCTGAAAAGGCAAATCTTGTTGCTTGTGGGTGTGGTTGGGATTTTTATTTGTCAAGTCCACCCCCTCCCCCTACTCCTTTGTAATTAAGTCTCTATCTTAATGGATGTGCTCCGAAGCCCTTGATAATGCTCTGGTGCTTCTTAAAATGTATGCTATAGAGCCCAGGGAGATGAAATATATTTAAGGAGAGACTGATAAGGGTCTTCCAGAAGGTACATGATTAATTTTAAAGCCTTCAGCTTCAATCCAGTGCCCATAAGTGAAGCAATAAATGCGCAAACATAATTTAATAGCATACATGCAGAGTTTCCGTCAAACAAATCTTGCAGCAAATTATTTGTCTGTGCATTGCATTAACCTGGTTAACTTTGCCTGAGTCGATCTAAGGAGGGCTCAGCTCTCCTTTCCAGCAGTGGAGCTGTGGGAACAGTAACCACAGAGGGACAGTGACAAGCAGCTGTCTTTAATCAGCAGAGCTGTTTGCAAAGTGGGCTTCTCTCTCTGGCATAATGAGTGATTTCTGACTTCTGTCCCTCGGGTTTTCCTGTGCCGCCAGGCACTTTCTGCACGCTCTGGGAATTTTGCATGGCAGCTCCAGCACCTCAGTCAGTTTGCAGAGGAGAGGGAGGAAAAAACATTCAGTGTTTGTAAATTCAGTGTGATAACAAGTTAAATTACTGCTCATAAAAGTGAGGGAGTGTACTCAATGAAGTCTAATGCAGTCAAGTGGCATACAAACTTTTCCCAGACATTTAGCTTTGTCACCAAATTTCAGGGCCTTTCTTGGTTTGGTCAAAGACTTGAATAAACTTTTAAAGGCTCCTGCCCCTTCCCACCCCACTGGGAACTGGAATTACTCAGATAAAATCCTCTTCTGCAGTAGCAGGGTTATGCCAAAGTTTCACGTTTGTAGGATACCACTACACCAAATACTGTTTGGTAAAACCAGCTGCCCTATGGTAGGCTACTTAGTTCAGAGCAGAAGAGGAAGAAGAACAAACTTTTTTGTCTCCTTCATGCAAAATTATGATCTTTGAGCTTTTTGTATATAGATATGTGAAACACAAAGGAGTCTTTGTCAGGTGAGGAGTTACTTTTGTATTGGATAACAATACAAAAGAAATCTTGGAAAATACCAGAATTTCCAGGTACTAAATTCTATGTCCAGAAGCGAACACTTGAACTATGGTTTTTAGAAGTGAATGTACAGAAGGCGGTAGGGATGTTAATGAAATTGCTTAGAAATCTCCCACCTACGGAATTTAGCATAATTTTGGTAGCTTAAAGTCCTTCCTTTTCTTAGTTCCTTTCTTGCCTTCACCAAACCTTCTTCTGAAGACTAATTTGTTTTTCCCTTCCTTTGTCTCCCCGCCACCCCCTTTCATTTCTTTAGGTGGTTTCTTGTAATGTTGTGGGGGATTCCGTTAAATTTGTTGTCACTGTCTCACATACTTCGCCCGTGGCTGGAGAAGGTCAGTCGTACAGCGTGAAGTTGTCTCCACTTCACTTGCAGGTAAAGTGTTAAGTGTTTTCTCTCTCTTTTTCCTTTTGTTACCTCTCATCCCGCAGCTGAGCTGAACCTCCTGTTTGCAAAATGCATACAAACTCACGTTAATTCCAGTAAAACATTTGATAATATTACAGTTTCCGTCTGGGGCAAGTGATAAATTCATAAATTAAGCCACCTGTTTAGGAGACTGTGGATAAATAACACGTTGGGTAGACTACTCGGATGTATAGAACAATACTCTTTTTTGACTGGCATGCACTCTCGAAGCTTAAGTAACTTCTGCCTTCTTAGACTGTCACTTTGAATTTACTTACTCAGAAACTGGTATCATTCTTCTTTTGGCGAGCCTTAGTGTGGAGCTTGACCTACAATTTCTTTACAAGACACCAGAACACTCTCCAGTAACTGCTTTCCTATCCACAGCTTCAGCTCTATGTGAAAGACAAAGGAGAAGATGTCAAAGTTGAGTGGTTCCTTGTTAACGCCGATGAAACCAACTTTGAAATCCAGCAAACAGTACAGGAGGTCAGTCAGTAAGTTTTATTTGTTGTAATGGTAGAGAAGATGGGTCTCCATCCCTTCGGTGTAAAACCCAGTGTAATGCTTTAGGTTAGCAGTAGAAGTGTCTAGAGCTAAGGTATCTGGTGGGGCTGGAAGAGCTGAAACAAAAATGCCCGTTCCTTTCTGCTGGCTGCCTTCGGTGGAAGTGTGGAGCAGTTACCTGTCAGCAGTGCTGTCTTGAACTGCTTAAGTGACATCTGCTGTGGCTCATCCATCAAAACCCTACATCTCTGAAATCTAGGAGCATTTCTCAAGATTACCGAAGCATTAAGATAAATCAAGTTTGTACTTGACAGACAAATGACTTGGCAAACATTTTTCATCCAAATTCAAAGGTGTGAAAAATGTCTGTTCCTAAATACCTTCTCTCAGAGCACTTCTAAAATAACAAAAAACCCCAATTGTAATGATATTCCCATCAAAGTAATTACAAAGTTGCCCCTTCCTTAAATAAATTTTGAAATCTGGCAACAATAGTTCAGAAACAGCTCTGAAAAAAATACAATTATTTAAGGAAATGATGGATCATCTAAAAATATCTTGATGCTTTTGAAATTGCACCTTATCTGAGTGTATAAACACTGATTCATTGGGGTTTTTTTATTGGGACATCCACTGAAAGAGTTTCTTCATGGCTGAGGCTTTCTTCTGCCTTTGACACTTCACAATTATATTTTTCTTGGCACAAACGTGGTGACTTAAGCCTTTCTTACAACAGTGGGCGAACACTTGCTTGTGTTTTGTGAAGTTGGTTTTCTGACTGAAGGCCTCGTTAAAAAATAGGTTTGTTGTATACTAGAGCTGCTTCTAAAGACCTGTACTGAGTGACCTAGAATCATAATAATTTATTGCCACAGTTTTTGTACACAAAAATGTGAAACTCATAACTAAAGACAGACAAGTCTTTTGAAATGTGTTTTAATGTAGATTTTACTGTGCGTGCACAGCAGCGTAAAGGACCTTCACGTGTTGGGGTGGCATGCGGATTATCCACATATTGAACAGTCATTAAGTACTTACTGGCAAATGCAGATGACTCTGGTACAGTCACTGGACTTCACAACCTGCTTTTTGAGAGATGCCTGAGTCCAGAGTTGCAAAGGAGTTGTAACTTGCTGTGTTTTGCCTGCATTTTTGAAATGAGCCTGTTAAGTTCTTAATAGCTAAGGGCTTTATTTTCACTTTGAAGTTTCTATTAGCACTTAGGGAAGAGGGGAGGCAATAAACAAAGAGCTAAAAGCTGTGAGCAACCTACACCTCGGAAATTGCTTCAGCTCCTAAACTTAAATGTCAGCTTTTGTGTCTTGTTTTTTTCCTCTTTTGGAAGCAATATTGTATGTACAAATAAATACCTTTAAGTGCTTGTGATTATCTACACAGTGGTTTTGTCATCAGTCAGACAAGGTGGATATAATAACCTATTTTCTGTTTATAATAGTTGGGTGAACCTGAGTTGTGTTTGGCAACCTGGCTGACTGGCAGGGCTTGGGTTTGCATGTGGTTGTGCTACTGTGACTTCATGTGGTGGTGTGCCCCAAGCTGGCCACGGTAGCTGGCTGTACGCCCCTAGCCCATGTCAAACCCCCAGTAAAACGTGTTGTCTTAAGCCTTTTTGGTTGGCAGTTAAGCCATTATGCCTCGCCTTGTGGAGGGTGTCATGATGGAGCATTACTTCCCAAGTAAGGATGGCTAAAAATGAGGTTGGGCTGACAGGAGGCTCCTCAACCAAACCACTTTCCAAATAACTGTGGAAACATCAGAAAATACCTATGAGTAGAAGTCCAATGACTATTGTGGGCTGTTGTTACCATTAAATAACAAATGTCAGATTAGGTTCATGGCAAAACGAGGGGCAGCTGGGATTTTACAATTTGACGGTGTTCTTCATCAAACAGTGGTTGGGTAAGGGCAGGGGAGGCAATTACCTCCAAAACAGTGAAAACTAACCACAATTTGTCTGCTTATTTAAATAACGTAAGTAATGAAATTACTGAAACTGAGGCTTTAGACAGCCTAATTTACTTTAATTTTTTTTTAAAGTAGAAGAGTACTATCTGCAAGTTGCAAAAATGTGCCACTGCCTCTTTCCTTGGCAGTTGTTTGAGGGAGCACGGTGTGAACAAAGCAGAGTTTCTGTGGGACTGGTCGATGCTGTTGTGCATTTTGAACCGTAGCGACCTGTCATCAAAGGGCAGTTAGGTAAGAAGGCGGTGAAACAGGATTTCTGTACACAACATTCCTGGGATTTTTTTCGAAACACCCTAAATGTTTCTGTAACACTTGGGTAATTGGGAAAGGGCTGTTACTCCAAATCTGTTTGACCTGTTGTGCAAGCTGCAAGCATACCTTCAGGAGCGCAGAAGTCATTGCACGATCATTCTCCTACACCTAAGAAAGGACCGAGGCTTTTGAAACGACAGATCGCCTCTCCTGCCAAGAGCTCTCTGTAACAGAGGAGCATGGTGCAGGGTGTCCAGGGTGGCAGAGCAAAGCCTGTGCTCTGCCCCATTCGCAGAGATGCGGTTGTTTGAGGCTTGAGCTGTTACTGCCTCGCGGCTTCGCTGGGCTGCGTGGCTGCACCAGCGTGGGTCAGGTAGCGCTGAAAGCTGGTGGTGCGCAGCCACAGTGTTATCAAAGCAATCTACCAGGATTAGGCCTTCAGTCCCCCACTTGATCTCCATGTTGGTGCAAATTGGGTGTCCTTGTCATCAGTGCACCTTGTCTTTGCAGCAGGGCCTTGTTTGTTGGCCATGGCACTCCAGTTGTAGGCATGCTCCCGTCAGCCAGCAGCATGCAGAAGGGTACCTTTTTTCTGCTTTGTGTGATTATTGCATTCTCCAGCTATTCTGTATCTGCATCTGTAAATCAGTTCCCTTTCTTTTAAAGTCTTGTTCTGTAATATTAAAGTCTCTCAGGTGTGGTATCAGGTGAGAAAGGATGGATGAGTCCTCTGTTGTTTAGGTCAGATCTTTGTCTCCTACTTCAATCTTTTCTTTAGAAAAGAAACCTCACTGAGATTTCTCCTGTGCTACCTTCAGAGCAGTTGGGTATCAGACTGCCCTTTCTGTGATAGCTTAATTTAAAAATCCACTCCCTGTAGGCAACTGAGCAGAAGAGACTTTCTGAGGAGTGTGACGTGGGAAGCAGGCTTCTCCAGGAGAACAGAGAGGGCAGGGGCGGTTCACCGTCTTCATACACCTTACAATTAATTGTGTGAAGCTACATGTGTAAGCAAAATCTGTGGTCTGTTCTGATCCCTCAGAGATAGTGGTGCTAAGTGCAGATTGCCATGAGATTTTTGAATGGACAAATGTACGAGTCAGTCCCCCAGAGCAGCATGACTGTCTGTCCTTACAGTGCACTTTTCAGCAAGGTTGAAGACCTCCAAGAGATACTATAATATTTTTTTCAGTGCAGCACAGGATTAGCTGCTTCTCAGCTGTTGCAAGCCAGCGTAACTCCCATTGAATCAGTGGAACAGTGCCAATCTGCTTATCTGATAACCTGATCTGTGCTCTCAATGGGGTGCAAAGCAGTAAAAAAACTTTAAAACACCATCATAAGATATAAACTGTTAATGAAACTTCTGTTTTTGTGGCTAATAGCTGTGCCTTCCTAACTCTCAGAACAGCATGTGACTTTTTCAGTGTCTATTTCTAGTTTTCCTTTAATGCATAATATAGAAATTTAAGCAATTATTTGCATGATCTCTTGTTACATTTTGTTGTTGGCAACAGAAACCATGTCTCTCTCTGTCAAAGTTAATGTTCAATAGCTTTGGTGGTTTAGATATACCAAATTAATTTTTGCTTTAACTTCTTTCTTCTGCGTTTTGAGAAGCATGATTGTTTGTTTCCTCTTAGGGACAGACAGCAGGGACATGTGCAATATCTGAAACGCTCAGAGATGTTTTGAAGAACCTCTTTAGCTCAGTTTCTCCATCTGTAGTGTTGAGTACGAGGCCTACAGATATAAAGGAGGTTCAGGTAAGTCTTATTCCTACCTAAATCTTTTGAGAAGTGTCCTTCTGCTTAGTGTTTTTATTATACATTCATGACTCACAAATGAGAAAGTTTAACACCGTTCGGTGATCAGAAACAGCTGGAACGCATTCTTTAAAACAACATAGCCTTTGGCAGTGAAGGCTTTGTGATCATAACTCCCGTGTGGCTACCTGTTGATGTTATACCCTGTTGCATGTCTGCTTCCCTATGTTGATGTGACAGAAGTTAAAGGTATTTTGTATTTGCATGTGTGCAACCCCTCTTGTTCTGCTTGCTTTTCACAGAATGTACAGAACATAAGCCTTCTCCCTCAGGGCACTAGTCCGCCTAAACCTCCAAGGGCTCATGAACTCAAACTGCTGGTAAAGAACATCGCAGTAAACCTAACTGATCACAGTGCTGCAGGTAACGTAGCCCATGCGATGCTGCTCATTTTCAGACAGGGTTGGGATTTTTTTCCTTTCGGCTGAAATCATTTGGAAGTTCTGGGTTACAACCTTCTCTCAAAAGAAGATGTAAGAAATTGCTGTACTCTGAGAAACAGACTTAGTCATGCTTGTAGAAAACTGTGTATGTTTTGGTTTATTTAAGTATTTAAACATCTTGATCTTCTCGTACACAAATCCATCATTGTTGAAAACAAATTGAAATGAGCATATTTATAAAGTTGGTTGATTATTTTCTGGGTTTTAGTTTTAATTTCTAAAAGTTATCACTTTGAGTGTACCCAAGATGAGGAGCTCAATCCAACTCTCCATTAACTGCTAGCAGTGACACTGGTTTGGTTCAGTATTACCTTATTTTTACAGCTGCTTTTCTTTACTTTTGAGCAATTTGCTGATTTATCTAAAGCACTTCTCTATGTAAACTCTCCTCAAAAGTGGTGTTCTGTCGTAGGGGATTTTTTCCCCCTAATAAAGTACCTCTGCGGGTAGGGGAGGAAGTACCTCTTGCAAGCGGAGAATGAAGCCAAAAAGGAGGTCACTGCCTAGTGAAGTTGCACTGTTGGTTTTGGAAAGAAGCACCAAGCCCATCTAGCAAGTATTAAGACTTCTTCAAGTGCACCTGCATCACTGATTGAGGCACGAGCAAGCATATTTCAGATTTTGTCAGTGGAAATAAAAATTTGAGGCTCTGTTATTTATGGTCACTAACAATTCCGTCACAGTCTTTTTAATGGAAGCTTGTGGCTGCTAAATTGGGCAAGGCACTAGTTTTGGATAAATACATCCTACTTGCTATACTCCTTTTCTCAGTTAGATGTAATAGGTTTGCTAATTTGCTAATGCTGCTTTGCTCATCCTGTTTGGAAGTGATTCCCCTGTAACTTTCTGCAGACTTTTTTAAAAACAAACTATTTTTATAGCAGTTCTGGAACTTTTCACAGCGAAATGTCCTATATAAATAAAACTGTGCTGGAAACTGTAGATTGCAGGAAAACCTCATTCAGAATTTGTTATTACGCTACAATTTTGTAGTGCAAACTAAGCTTTTCAAAAGAGCAGATTTTTGGCCGCCTTTAAAACTCATGAGATGAGATACCTTTACGTGCATACAGTGCATGCAACAGAGGATTCATCTTACGGGAAGCCTCTCTGCCCCCTCCCTGAAAATGCGAGGAAGAGGGGACAATTAATGTGCTCTACTTCGGGAACCCAGATACTGAGAGGCAAAATCACCATTTGCTCTTCTAAAAGGAGATGGAGGGAATTTTGCTCGTTCCCTAGCAACTCTGGGAGTGTAAATGCTTTGGAACGGAGTATGAGAAATAAAGCTTCTTAGTGGGGTTTAGCTGGTACACTCGAAATCCAGTGGAAGTACTGCACAGCTGGGAAGACGCTAGCTTCTGAACATAGCTTGCTGCCTTTTAGTTATTGTTCCCTTCCCTTTTCCTGGCCTTGTCTTGCAGCAATAATTAATTATCCTGTTGCAACTCTGAGACTCAATAAGAGTGTGCAGTATTGCAGGCTAACCTGCATAGATACATAGAGGGTTGGGGAGGGGCGGTTTGTCTGTCTTGATCATTATCATCCTATAAACCATGGGTGCTAACATGGTTTACCAAGAGCTTGTGGCTTTCCTGTAGATAAGTTAGTTCAACTGCTGAGTAACCAGTAGCAGAACTGGCCTCTGCTTATGGGCTGTGCCCGTTTTTATCTCCTTAGTTTGTGTATGTAAACAAAGATTATCCTAGATTTAGTACTTTGTGGTGCACAGTGTATCATCTGGGGCAAAAGTTGATTTCTGCTGCTCAGGAAAAAAATTGTTAGTTGTGTACACCAGGGTGTGTGAGGCAGAAATGTGGAAATACCCTGTTCCGTATCAGTCGGTCAGTGGCTCCAGTGTAATTTCCAGCAGAGCTATACAGGTGTTTCTGTCCAGGGCTGCTGAGCTCTGCTGGCAGCAAGAGCAGGCTGCAGAGACATATGGCTGGGTTAACAGAAAACCGCCCCAGGTTCGTTAACTCAGCCTCAGCCTGCTGTGAAAGCAGCTAAACTACTTACTCCGGGGTTAGCTCGGAACCCAAATAAGCTGCGTGTACATAGTGCTTTGCCTCCTCTAATAACCTTGCCAGGCCCACGCTGCTTCTGTGCCTCAGATAGGGCTCATCCACAGCTCCGATGCACCACCAGAGGACTACTGAGAGTTGATGATAGTAAATATAAACCTAGATTCTGCTGGGGAACTGGAGGCGGCATATCTTTTGTTTGCTTTGCGCACAGTCCATACTGAGCTTTTTGCCGCTTTCCTTGATATTTTAGAACCCTGGGACTGAAATGGTTTCTGATGCTGTGAAAGCCATACAAAAGAAATTGTTTTAAGAGTAACACATTGTGCAAACTATTTCCCCTTGGAGCAGCAATGTAACTACTCTAATATGCCAATTTGCCACGCTATCAAATTCCAAGATCAAGGTAGAGATAATTCTGCACCAGTACTCTAAAATGCCATGGACTTGTTACAAACCGCAGTCCACAAAGCCATTGTTAATTAACACTACTGTCATCATTCACTTGCTAGCAGAAGCGGCTTGCTTTGATGTCCAAAGAAACCACTGTGACTGTGGCCAGTAGGAACATTGAAAACTTCTGTTTTTTTTTAAAGCAGCTGAAAACAACTTTACTCACTCCTCCCCTCGCACCCACACCGCCATCTCCTTGCTGTTCATTCTGTCTCCCCGTCCTTTTTGATCTTTTTATGCCTGCATTTTTTTGCTTCATGCCAGAATTTAAATCGGGTCATCGTGTTTCACGCTCTGTAGAACTGTGCATAGGACAATGGTGACCCAGTCTTGAGCGTCGCCATTAATGTAGGTGGTATACAAACTGGGAAGGAATTTATTCTGCGGCTGGGTGAGGAATTCTTTCCAATATTCTATTCAAAAGCACAGTATGTAAGGAAGGGGGTTCTTCGCTTTCTTTTGAGTAAGTGTGCCTCCTGGGGATGGAATATTAATAACTGGATATTGATTTTTCTTGCCCTGACAGGCAGCACAAACCTTGTGTGTATAGTTCAGTTGAATGACCCTATGCAGAAGTTTTCCAGCTCTGTAGCCAAAAATGCTGCAAATCCCTTTTGGACAGAAGAGTTTATCTTGTAAGTAACTTACCTAATGAGAATACTTTTATAGTAAAGCATCTTTTTTGACTTAAACTATTTTGAAATACGTCCAGTCGGGTGGCCTCAGAAATTCAGGATATCTAATTACACTCTGCATGGATATGAGATCAAATAGGTCTCTAGATCTTCCCTGGTAGATACCTGATTCTAGTAAATGACAGCAGTAACAGGCATAATAAATCACCCTGTTCTTTCATACGGTGCCAAAAAAAGTGTTAGCAAGGTTTTGAAGTTACTTTACTTTGAAAACTGCATTTGAGGAAATCTGATGTCTCTCCCTTCCCTCCCCTGAGTGGGAAATGTAAATGTGCAAAAAAATTGACCATCTAAAACAATGGTGGCTATGATTAAAAAGGGAGTGTAAAACTAGCCAGTTTTTTTTCTGTAGAACAAAAATAGGACTTTTGGGCAGCCTGCACGGTATTCTGTGATTCACACAGCTTCTGTAAATAAGGTCAAAAGTGAGCAGTTCTAAAGCTATTTTTATTTCCACTTTATAGCAGCAGAGCAGAAATATCTGGTAGCTTCTGTATTGTACGAGTTGAGGAAAGGGGAGTCACTGATGGCGGACTGGGTCAGAGGGATGTTTCTCTAGTGGCTTTAAACACACGCGCAGGCAGGCAGAAGCAGCTTCCCAGGGGAATGGGGTAGAGATGCTGCCATGCAACATACTGCAGATACTGCTTTCTTTTTTTTCTGCCAGATTATTAATGTGAGAGGCACTTCATGCACAGTGGAGTCTCTCTGGTTCTTTCTGTAGCTTTCGCCTCCCATCTCAGTTCTATTTCTCTCTCTCTCTAAAAATATATATTTCGGAGAGTAGTATTTCAGTTGGTTTTGTGTGATGTTTTTCTTCACTGTCTAATCACAGCCTGGCATCCACTGTGTCTGTTCCTTCTCTTGCAAAGCAGAGGCTTAGCTTACAAGGAGCTGAGCGTGTATTGAGACCTGTGCCTGTCCATGCCGAGTGCTCTCTTCCTCAAGGAGCGGTGTGCACTTCTGCGTGCTTGTCCTCAACTTGAAGGGGGAGTGAGTGTGCAATGCACAGATCTTTTCCTGCCTCCTCATCGCAGTCTGCTGAACTGCACCTGTGAATGTTATGGGAGCGTGCACTGCAGAAACAGGAGAGCTGAGGGAAAAGAGACAGGGGCTGCTTGATTTGGAGGAAGGTGCCAGGATTGGTCATCACAAGTTGTACAGGACTTGGAGAACACCAGCCCCCTCTGAGAGTGTGTAGGGGATGGGGGTGATTAGAAGTCACTATAGTCAGCAAAGAAAAATTGATGTTTTAGAATAACACTGAAAGGCCTCACCTTTTTATGTGGTCTGATGGACGTGTGTGCAACTGCTTCTCATCCTGCTGTCAAGTGGAAAACCAGACAGGAAACTCTCTTCCTTCAGACATGCACAGTCCAACGACTTTTGAAGTCTGATTTTAGTTATGAGGACCTACAGTTTTTGTGGAAAGCCACAGATCAGACAACATTCTTCTGTGACAGTGTGCTGCGTTGCCATCAAGACTTAAGGATTAACGTGATGCGATTTCTTCTCCACAATAAGAAGGGGGAAAAATGCACTTCTGTAGCAGCTTTCTGTTCTAGAGTATCTCAAAGTGCTTCAGCCACTAGGTCTGTGAATCACTTCAGCCATCCTTAGGTAGAACAGCATCCATGCTCGGTGTTGCAGAGCAGACATGTTCCTAGTGATTTCGGACAGGAAATTTGTCAGAATAATACCCTTTCCAACTGAAAGTGCAGAGAGAGGGCAGTCAGGATGTGATTAAGTTGACTGGAATTTGGCCTTGATGCTAGGGGTAATGCTGGGTTTTCCATGGCGTTGGCTGCTTTTCAGAAGTGCCTGAGGTAAGCTTGGGGACTTTTACAGATGAGTGATCAGGATTTGGCTGCATACCTTCTTTCAAGTTCACATCCCCCCCCTTTCTTTCTTCAAAACCGAAAATACCCACCAATCTGAAGACCAGTGTACTGACCACCATGTCAGGCTCTGCTTTAGCTTCATGGGAAGAGCAGCGATAGTACCATCAAGGTGCTTCCTTTCAAGTTTTGGAGGTGCAGGAGGGGGTGGGAGTAGCAGGGAAAAGCTTAAAATCTGCTGCATAGATGATGTCCCAGAGCATCTAATGGAGGTGGGATGCCTGCAACCGAGATCACACTGTCCTGAAATGGAGGCATAAAAATAAAATACGTACATATGTGCCCTTAAGGTTTTTGGCAGAACACCTGCTGAGAAGGTTATAAAATCAAGTTTTGCTGGAAGGTTCCTCAGTAGGTACCCAGTTTGCTTCACTGTCTCAATTAGAGGAGAGGTTTTGTATCTATTGTCTAGTCCATCTTATGAAGTACCGCACATGCCAGTAGTTCTGCTAGTACTTCACGTTGGTTCTGTCACACAGAAACTAGTTCTTGTTATCTTGCAACATCCTTGAGTCTTATTTTGGAAAAGTAATACTGACTCTTCTCACATAAGACTGTAACTACTTTTATTTACTTGCATCTATCCTGCTTTTGCAGGACACTTTCCTGCTTTGACAGGATACCCCACAGCTTTGAACGGGTTGTTGATTGGACCTGTTCCAGCACCTTGACTCACAAGTTTGATCCTGCCAGGAAAAAATAGCTTCTTAGTGCTGTGGTGTAGCAGTTGGATTAGGGACCAACATCAGCTTGAAGGGCAGTGTTTGTCAACTACTGGGGAGAAGAAAAGCCTCTGAAATTTTAGGCAACCAAACTTCTGCAACAGTGCTGGAGAGAAGCAAGCCAAGTTTTTCTGACTATGATCCCTTTAGTCAGTCTTACCTGAGGTCAAAAAGACGCCACGCACGCGGCGTACCCAGCAGCCTGGCAGTGCTGCCACGTAGTGCTGCCTGCCTCGCTTAGCAAGTTGTACTGCTTGGCTTAGTGCGGGCCAAGAAAAGTTAGGGTGTTGGCAACCAGAACAGGAAAGGGGAAAACCTAAGTGGGAAGGAAAATCTGCTTGCCTGCGAAGACCTAACATAGTTTCATTTACTTCACAGTGAACTAAGTGCCAAATCAAAAGCATTGCAACTGCAAATAGTAGAAGATGGAAAGTTGGATAGTAAGTATTGAAACTGAATTATTTTGCTTGATCAGCTTGTGAGCATTACTAAATGTTGACATAAGTCCTCTTTTAGTTCTACCCGGCTGTATAGCCGTATAAGAAACTCTCAGATTTCTGAACCTGCATTAAAGCATAGATGTCTTATGCTGACTTGTCCTGATTTTGAAATTGGGTATGGCTTAAATATGGCTCTAGGCAGCCCTGGGGGGAAGAACAGCTGTGGAAGGGAGATCAGCTGAAAATAGCCAGCCAAACTTGTACAAAACAGATAGCTTGGGGAAAATTTATAACTTAAGTTTGTGTTTTTAAACTCCATAATCCTGTCCTTAAATTCATGTCCTAGAGTTGAAGTCCGTGGAAAATCACGGAGTTCCTGAGCAACACTGATTGACCTGGGTTAAGTGCTGTCTATGTACACCGTTACTTCCAACAGTAATCACGGACAGAAGAGAGAATACACTGTTCACGTGTCTCTGTCCTCCTCAGAGTTAAGGTTGCAGAGAAGCCTTGAGTTTTTTTCTAGACTGTCAACATCCTGAGTTTTCCATCTGCTGATAGCCTAATTTTTCAGCCTTCTAAACTTTTAACAGATCCACTGTGAGCAATTTTTGGTTTCAAGTTAGGCTTTCCAGGTCTTTCTGTGGCTGAAGGGGAATCGTGGGTGTTAATCCTAAATCCTTCCTTTTCAAGCCCCAGAGGCTGCCTAGCAATTTTCAGGTATAAAACACACTAATTCTGATTATGTTGGATTAAATATAAAACATGGGGGCTGAAACTTTTTTACTACTTGATTCTATTGTTGCAGTCTGCAAGTAGCCTTCAATGGCAAGAAAACCCCTCCACTGAACTATTGCATTTGGTTTATTTGGAGAAGCATTACCTTCCTAGTGGGGGTAAGGGGTGGGTGGGTGCTGAGACCAGAGAGCATGTTGAGGTGTTTGCGTGAGCTTTGTAAACTTGCTCCACGTACTTCATTACTTGGGCTTTACTGAAGTGATGACACAACATCATAAATTCTTCTCCGATATGTTGCATGTTCTTTTGCTGATACAGAGTTTTCTTGTAGCTAGAAACAGTAACTGTGTTTCACCTCTTGGATCCATGTGCTTTTTCCTCCTTATGTCAGGTTTCAGGTGTAAAACAAACAAAAAAGCAGCATTACTTTTTGACACTCAGCTATTTCTCTGTGTTTTAGTACTGTCAGTTATATTCAACTTAGTTCAGGAAAAAGTTATAAGTATTGGCCAAAGCTTTTCATACCCAGTGATAAAAAAAAAAGTGCTTTTACTCATGGTTTCTTGTGATAGTGGTTGAAGGCTTGGCCAATAATTTATTAGGTAATAATATTTTATCTAAGTCACGGTTAATAAGTAATATAGCCAAGTGGACTATGTTTGATTTTTGGTTTTGGGTTACTGTATTTATTTTTAATAATCTAGATACACAAAGTCGTGCAGTACCTTGTACTCTGTGATTATTTGGGGGATTAGGAAGTCAAATTTAGGCAAATGCTTTAAAAAATTTCTCTGACATGGATGCTGGTTATTAACAAAAAAATGGGATCTATATACAGTCAGCAAATGTATATTGTTTCTTGCATAAAGTTTAGTCTTGCTTGTACCTGTGCATTTTTAGTAGTGGGTTTTTCAAACAATACCAGTAACTTTCCACATCCTACTGAGACTGTAACTACCAACCTGGTTTCTTGAAGAAAAAAGTCCCAGTTGATTGCACTGGCAATCATCTTTCTTCCCCCCATACTGTTTTAGCTGTTCTTCTCGAGAAATTTGAATAGAAAACTCAAAGTAGAATCATATTAGTAAGGAGAGAGATGAGTAATGTGAATATAATTTAGATCTCTATTTGTCTTTGAATTCCGCAGAAAGCTAGGATTTCATCCCTGAAATTGTGCAGTAATTTTACTGATAGTTTGCTCCAGCCTGGTGTAGCTAATAAAGTAAGGGGACGAACAAGAGAACTGCTGAACTTGCACTAAAGATCAAATTAAGAAAAAATATCATAATGATGCACCGGTTTACCAGGAATCCAGAGTATTCTCTGGAATAAAACATTAGGTGTTTCCTTTTCCCCTAAACGTTCTGCATATACAGGGAAAAATAATGGCCAGAAAGAGCGGCAAATAAGTAATGTTTCATGTCTCCATTCTTCTATGCTGCACAGTATTAGGCCAGGCTGAGGAATAGTCATAAAGTGGAAAGCAAGCTGTGAAAACTGCCATGTTTCTGCCTCGTGGTGTAGAACCAGTTCTTGCAATTAGCTGCCTGTGTTCTTCCTCCGCCTTTCCCATCTTCTCACCCTTAAACATACTGACAGCTCGGATGTGCGCTGATTCTGTTGATTTTATGTCTTCTAGGACCTTTGTCCGCAAAGGTGACTGTACCTCTAGACTTGTTCAGGAAACAACCTTCTGGACAGCAAAGCTTTGCACTGAACAGCAGGGCCAGTGAGAGCAGCTCAGAGCCGGGGCCCGGGCTGGGATCCGTTAGTGCAGAGGTACTACTGCGTTTGGATGGTTTGACTGTGGATCTTTTACTTCGGGAAGCACTTGCAAATGCTCATCTTGTGCTCGCAGCACAGTGCCATTTGTGGCCAAGTTAGAGTAGCGCATTCAGATTGCATGGTAACACTTCACGTGGTATTTGTGTCTATCAAAAGAATTAGCTGTTTGGCTCTTGAACGGTAGTAAAAATGTTAAAGAAGTACTAGCTAGAAATGTTAGTGTCCTTCTTACCTGACTGTGCTTCTAAGGTGACCTTTTTTTGTCTTCCTAGTTCTTTTTTATAGAACCCAATGAATTAAAGACGTGGCAAGTCTCTTCTCCAGTGCCAGCCACTAAGATAGAAAAGGATCGCACTGTGATGCCCTGTGGGACTGTGGTCACTACTGTAACTGCTGTGAAAACCAAACCTCGTCTAGAAGGGAGATCATCTCCACTGAGCACAGGTAAGGAAGTCCACTTCTTTGGGTTCACTCTTAGGGTTATCTGTGGGGACCAGGAGGAGGGTGGAGGGGAGTGGGATGTAAGGAAAGGCGCTGTTGTCCAGACTTCTATGTGTTGGGAACACGCTCTGGTCAGATCTGTCGCTATCTCAACCTTTCGTGCCCCATGTTGGGCACCAAAAGCAAAGTTGTGGTTTAACCCGGCAGGCAACTAAACACCCCATAGCCATTCGCTCACTCCTTCCCCACCCAGTGGGATGGGGGAGAGAATTGGGGGGGAAAAAAAAGTAAAATTCATGGGTTGAGATAAAGACAGTTTAATAGGACAGAAAAGGAAGGGAAAATAATAACAACAACAATAATGATAAAAGAATATACAAAACAAGTGATGCACAATGCAATCGCTCACCACCCACCAACCGATGCCCAGCCAGTTCCCGAGCAGTGGTCACCCCGCCCCAGCCAACTCCCCCAGTTTGTGTACTGAGCATGACGTCACATGGTATGGAATGTCCCTTTGGGCAGTTTGGGTCAGCTGTCCTGGCTGTGCCCCTTCCCAGCTTCTCGCTGGCAGCGCATGGGAAGCTGAAAAGTCCTTGACTAGCGTAAGCGCTACCTAACAAAAACTAAAACATGGGTGTGTTATCAACATTGTTCTCATCCTAAATCCAAAACACAGCACTGTACCAGCTACTAGGAAGGAAATTAACTCTATCCCAGCCAAAACCAAGAGAAATTTTCATGAAACCTTGTTCTTGCAAGAGGAGTGGTTAATGCTCCCTTTAATACACACTGTAAAGCTTCATGGTAGAGTGATAATGCAGAAAAGCTTAGTTTTGGTGGATAGTTTTCCACATGACAAAAGTGTCAGACTCTTGCAGTGTTTGCTGATGACAGACCATCCTGTGCCTTCTAACCTTGATCCGTATTATAATCTCTAATGAGGATTGGTGTCATCTTGTGACAAAGGTTTTTTTTTCAGCATGTCTTTCAGGAGTAGGTTCTCTGATTCTTCTTGGGATAAGTGTGAAAGTAAAACCTCTAAGCAGTCTTTGTGTGAAGTCTCACAAAGAGCTGCGTTCTTTTAAGTTGTTAAAGCAGATCTTTTACTTAAGTGGGTGTTGTCTAGTGTGTTACAGTAAAATGTTTAAATTCCTACACTTCACAGGTCTTTTTGCATCAGGTTACCATAGAGCATGCATTGAGAATTTGTATTAGACGACTTTCTCAAACACTTATGATTTGAACAGGCTTTAACATTGGTATAATAAATTCTTGTTATTTTCATAATAAATGTCTTGAGTAGTTTAAATAACCAGAAAACTTGGTTCTCAGATTCTCCTGTGAAAACTCCAGTTAAAGTAAAGGTGATTGAAAAGGATTTCTCTATTCAAGCTATCCATTCTCATGGTGCTCCAGTCAGCAAAACTTTATCGTCTTCAGATACAGGTAATCGAAATGTTCAAAGCTTCTAATGAGAATACGTCTCTTTGCTGCACATGGGATTAATGTAATCCTGTTAAAATAACAGCAAACCCATATGGCTAAAGCCCTTCAACAGGCACTGAGATGTTTATGTTAGCAAGTACTGTGGTTAGGGATATAGCGGTCTTGCAATAGAAGTCTGGTTTTAATTGGTGATTTAAATCACTAATTTTCAATAAGTAACAATGAGCTGTGGTTTGGAGAGGGGAGGTGACTGCAGAAAAGCCAGGCTGTCTTTTCTCTTACTTTTGAATGAAAGATTCCTCTTTTATAAAGGCATGGGGAACACTGTACAAAATGAAAACCCTGTGAAACCTACCTCTAAGGCCATTGTGATGTCCCCCCTGTCTGAACAGAAGGCAGGAGGCTGGACTGAGGTAAGGAAGACTGAATTCTCTTCCTAGCCCTGCCACTGGGCTTTTTTGTGCTAACGCAAATACACAATCTTGCTGTGCCTCTTTGTCCACCTTCCTAAGTCACCTGGCATACAGCTGAAGTGCCTTCAGGGTGTCAGGTGGCATTGATAATAACTTTAATTATAAATTCACTTTGACTGTATTAAACCTGATTTTGACTCTGGGGCATTTTGCCTTTTCAAGTTGCAACTCTGAATCTTCAGCATATTTTTCAGTCCTTTCTGTGGTCACCATTTGATCTTTCAGTAGCTCTGTAGGAACAGTAATGAAAGATGTGACCCAGTCTAGCTGCAAATGGCACATGATGCGGAGTCCAGTTTTCTTTGTACAGCTTTGAGTGGAGATGGGACAATCTGAAGACAATCTAGACTGCTCCTGGAACAGTCAGGCGGCTTGCTGAGAGGTAGAAATGTATTGGCCAAAAGACAGAAATCTGGGGAAGAGCACGAACCAGTAACTGTGAATAGCTGTAATAGCACTTGAATCTTTCCCTACCTCTAGTCTAAGAAGTACTCTGATACCATGAAGCAGCATGGTATTACTAAGCCAATTTGGGAAATGTTCAGGGAGTGCTAGACTTCTGAGTTGACTCTCATAACTGTTTATGATATTAAAGATACAGAGCACTTACTGGAAAACTCATCTGAAGACAACTTAAAGCACATTGATATGGACAGTGTTTTTATGGGAGCGCAGGGGAATTTCTGTGAAATGTTTATACAATACAGCAGGAAGAATTACTCATTAGAATGAAAGTTTAAGCCAAATGAAAGAAATACAAAGGAGCATTTGGTATGGCAGTAATTTAGGCAGTAGTTATTACAGACATCGTGCCAAAATAGCAACAAGCACTATGGAAAAGATGCCGTGGCCGTGCCATAGTTCTAAGTGATGACAACAATAAGAATTAGCAAGTGCCACCGATGCTGTCCTGGACACTCTCAGCTGTTCCTGGGGGCTTTGCAGTGGCTAGGGAGGTGGAAAAGTAGAGGTTTATAATGAGTGTGCAGACACGCGTGGACATGCATACCCCTTGTACATACATACTCTTAAGTTCCAAAAGTATTTGAGACACTTGGTGCAGCATAATTATTCAGGCCTCGTCTTTTGTTGCATTAATGTCACAGTAACAAAAGAGACTGCTAAGTTTAATTAACACTGGTGCTATTCCTACCTATATTCTTTTGTTGTTAGAACTCTTAACAGAAAAGCCCACCTCAGACAATTAAATATGGGGGGTTTTGTCATGTTAACTTTCTTAGCCTTGTTTGTTCCTAAGCTTGACGAATTTGATCAGTGTGTATTTGCTGTGCCCAAAGTACTTGCGTACTAGATGCCAGAAATGGCCATGCTTAAAAATAAACTTGTGTTTGTCACTAAAGAGCATTTTATAAAGAAGGTTTTGTACTCCTGTGCAATGTTTGGAGAGGGAAAGGAGGTGTACTTTACAGGCTTTGGAGGCAGCTGATAAAGAGCAGCGCGACTGCCACTTTGCCTTCCCCATTCTGTCATAGTGCCACAGCAAATCTGGAAATGCCGAGTGAGGATGTCTGGAAAAAGAGCAAAATAGCTACCTGAAGCAGTAGTAGCACATGCCAGCTTTGTACCATGTTAGAACTATGGCTCTTCATGACTGTGATACCTGCTGCTCTACCCACCGCTTCTGGACTGTGGTCACCGCAGTGTAGCAACGCATTGAAATAATTGGATGTTTTGTCTAGGCTTCCAAAACCTCCTGTGTGCTCAGGGCAAGGGTTTGTAAGTGCAACTTAGGTACCTCTTCTCAAAAGAATGGGTAACAGAAGGGCAAGACAAGACCCAATAGCTGGGTGGTGAATTGGAAGATGTTTTGGTATGTCTGGTGTTTATACTGTTTCTGCTGATTTCTTTGAATTTGAAGTCAAGAACAAACTCTGCCTCACTTTGCTCTGTTTTTTCCTGTTTTTCTTTCTTCCCTCTGAAATAATGCTTTCTTTTCAGAACTGCTGGTACTGAATGGCACCGATCCTGTTGCAGAAGCAGCCATTCGGCAGTTAAGTGAGTCTGCAAAGCAGAAGCTGAAGTCTCCTAGAAAGAAGAGCACCATTATCATATCAGGGGTGTCCAAGGTAGAGCAGAAAACAACACTTATATTTAATGCTTAGTACTGTAAAGTCTTTGCTCCACTGAGTGCGACGTTAACTTAACGTGCGTTCTGCTGTCTCCCATTCAGCAGTCTCTGCAGGATCTAGGTCTGTGTGCCAGTTTGCTTCAGTAACTGTTTCAGGTTAAGCCAAATCAGGATGTGTTTGTTGGGGAGGGTGTTGGTTTTTGATTGTTAGATTTGACAGCCGGACGAAAAATGCATGGTATCGTTGGATGGGAGTGGGATGATTAGGGATTTGGGAAAACCAATTTAGGTGAGAACAGAGGATAATTAGTCCTTCTCTGTGTTTCACTCGTGGAGGGAAGATGCACAGAAAAAGTATGAAAGACTTTTTTGGGTTTTTTCAAAGTTGTTAAAACAAAACCCTCTGAAAAACATCCTAGTCCTCTGGGCTCTGTTCCAGAGGGAGGGCAAACAGAAGACTGTTTCTCACATGGTATATAGCATTCCTCCAGACTTTCTTCATCCACAGCCTCAGTTTCCCATCTGATGCTTGGTGCCTGCCTGTAGTCCTTTCCCTGCAGGCTGCTGTATGGGCATTTGCTGTCAAGTCTTCCTGTTACGCACAGGACCCCTAAAGAGCTCTGAGTGAAAGCCAAGTCAGCGGGCATGGATCCCCTCAAGATCGCTGTGCTGTGCTGAGGGGGGGAATGAGGATCAGCTGCCATAGTGATGGATGTATCTGCTTGGGAAATGGGGGTACTGGGACTGTGTGGATTTGTATTTAGCTGATATAGATGCCAAGAAGTCCTTCTACAAGATTAAATACTTTGATGTTCATGTTCTTAAAAAGACCAAAAGATTATTGTCTATGCGTGCTGGTAGTTCATTACAGCAGCACATGTAGGAAAGAGTCCCGTTACTAGCGGTGGGGCTGAGGGTAGGTGGGAGGCATGTGCTTAAATATTTTTTTTCCAGTCATTTGGCATTAACAACGTTATCAAAACTTGGCTATATGCTCCCCTCCTTTAGTGGAGCTAAGGAAGCCTCACAGTGGCTTTCTGATAGCCCTGAGCAATGCAAATAAAAGTGTAAAGAAGAGAACAGAACTTTTGCAGGGAGGCTTGGTTTTTTCCAGCAGAGCGGCTTGTGTCAGTGTTGTCTCTTATTTTCACTGGGCAGACCTCTTTATCTCAGGACAGCGAAGCTGCACTGATGATGGACTATGCTGCAGCCATGGACAGCTCCTGCAAAGAAGTAGATCCACCCACTGCGGAGGAAGCTGTTGCAAAAGTCACCTCTGATGAAAAGCTATCATTAGGTGCTTCAGAAATAGTACCTGATGCTGACCCACAGCAAAGTGCCCATAAGGCTTGGGGTTTGGAGAACGGCAGCCAACAGTGGGACACCAACATGCTCTTAGACCAGACCTGTGAAGAAATATCTGGGAGCTCATTAAGCGTTTCAGAAACTGGGAGCATGAAAAAATCTAAAGGTATGTGATCCTTACTTCCGCTTTAGTGAATGACTGCTTTCTCTATGTAATTGGCAGTGTCATGCAACACTGTAGTAGTTCATCCTTTCTTACTGATTTTTGTTGTTAAACTCCTTGTGATTGTGTTGGTTGAAGCTGTCTTACTAGCAGCCATGAAGAGTGCAGCCCTCTGGCTCTGCAAGACATGGCAGGCTCTCTTACACTCCCCTCCATCAGGAAACAGAACGGCTCACCCTTAGATGTTGAAGGGCAGCTCACTAAGCCCAACTCAGTTATCTGGGAGAGAAATAACTAGCCACGTTGTCAATTCCTCGATGAAAACCGTGTTCTTGTAAACAAGGACTTGTGCTATATTAGCAGCCCCATTACAAACATGAAAATGGCAGGGTTCCACGGTTGCTTTCTGATATGTTTCTTCTCCTCCTTCACATCTCTGAGCACAAGACTCCCCTGCCCTCACTAAAGTGTGTGTTCAGGAAGCACCATGGCTAAACCAGAAGAACACTCACTCTTAACTGCCTTGTGAACAGTTTCTCCCTTTTCACTGATTTCATTAATACGTAGTTTGCTAAAGAAAATGGAATAAAGGGTAATTTAGTAAGTAAATAAAGGGTCAGATCATTTTGCTTATGTAGTTACACACCTGGGTAGCTGCAGTTTGAAAATGTCTTAGGATTCTTTGTGTTTCCTTTCTACATCTATTAACCTCTGAGGCTGTAGTACTGGTTTGTGGCTAAGTGATAAATACAGGGGCTGTTAGGAAGTCTGACACAAGAGCCAGTGCAGTGGACTATGTCCTGAACAGGCAGCACACCAGTCTCAGGGGCTGCACACTGACGTTGCAGAAATTGTTGTGTTTCTCACCCATATCCATCCCTCTTTCACTTTATTATTTTCTCGTCTTTTCTTACCCAGAGATACTGTAAAATGGCTTATTACAAAACCTCAGTATATTACTAGATTTTTGTAATCCCCCCCCCCCCATAGGGCATACACTGGACCTCTTTGCGAAGGCTCTCGCTTAGAGCATCGAGGTTTTCTGGCCTTCTCGCAGCTGTATTGCTCCACCTGATAGATCAGGATGGTACAGCAACAATCAGTTTGACATAGATGGTCAGGCATTTAAAGTTTTGGGTGTGTTTGGGGTAGGGGTGGAAGGTTAATTGTGAGGAGGTGTCTCATTTGGAGCCTGGAAAAGTTTAGGAAGCTGCATGAGATTTTGCAAAACCTCTAGACTCTAACATGTTATTCTAAAACAAGCAAGTGGAAGTTTGTATGTGAACTGTTGTCTAGTTTTGTTTTTCTCTGTGCAGTATGTTGCAAAGAGATCAGGCTTCTAAAGATCCTGTTTACACGGTGTAGTATAGAACTGCTAAAAAGTGCAAAGTACCTCTTATATTTGAGAGTTGACTCATCTTGAAAAAATATTAAAACACCCACACTCAAATCCCTTTCTTTATACACAGATCTCGTCATGGAAGTCTTGTGTCTCTGCTTTGTCATAGCTGAGTAGCATTTTATGGAATGAGATAGGAAAACATTTCCACATTTCCACCCTCCTGCCTTCAGTTAGCTTTGAATAGTTCAAGGTTTCTGTTTTGTCAAACGCTTTCCCTTTTAAAAAAAACACACAAAACCAAACACAGCAAAAAAACCTCCAAAAACCCCAAACAAAACAAAACCAAACTCCCTCTGCTTTAAAAAGCCTTGTGTATGGTATTAATGTCTTAAAGTTAGCACTCTTTTTTTTTTTCTACTCTTGCATATTTTTGTTTTTTACCTTTCTGACTTCCTCTTTCTCACCCATTCCCTTTTATAAACTTAAGAGGACTACTATGCCAACCAGAATTAATTACCTACACAGTAAGTTATTTTTGTCCTTTTTTTTTTAAGAAAATGTAGCTTTACAATGGTACACTCATTGTAAAAACTGAAGCAAAACATAGTTTGGCACCCGTTTTCTTCTTCCCTCATCCATTTCTTTCCTCCCTCCAAAATTACCTTCCAGTGCTCAGCTGTCTTAGCAGACAAGTCTGCTCCAACAGATCATTCTTCTGGTGGTCGTTCTGTCCTGGTGGGTCATGCAGAATAGACAGCAAGGAAGGCTTGGAGGGGTGCTCTACGTTCCTGATCTCTCTCCATCATGCCCATTCCTGTAGTATCTGGTTATTAATCAAACATCTGATCGTGCAAACCATGTGTGACCCCATAACTGTATATGCATATGCAGAATGCTTATTTCAAAACCTGCTGTTTACAGTTTTCTAGATCTCTTTTCTAGCCTAACTCGTAGAGCTACGAGGACCTTAGCAGGTATTTACAAAACCACCTGGATAAAAACTGTTTTGGAAGTTGGGAAGGAATGGAAAAAGCGATTTCTAGTCGTATCCCTGTAGATGTGGAAGGAAATCTTCCTTCATTAACAAAAATGACATTCAGAAGTGATCCTAGCCCCACAAAGCATTTTCAGAACACCCTAAACTAGGGCAGAGGAGCCTATGAAGACCAGTCAGTCTGTACAGCACTCTTGACATGCTCTCTGCTTATCTCCTGGTGTTAGGGGCAGAGTTGGCATGTGGATCCTGTTGAACTCGAGAAGTAAGCATGCAAATAGCACGAGCATCGCCAAGCTTGTGATTTGCCCTACCCTGCTTTCTTAGCAGGGGTGCATGCCTCCACAACAGCTGGAGCCACTGTCAGGCAGCACGTACCAAAGTGGCTAGACACTGATGGGTGGCAGCGGGGATGTGGCAAGCTTCCAGGTAGCAGTGACCTCAGTACCTCCGAAAACACAGGGAGCTTTCATGTCGGGGGACTGCTGCTTCTTGTGCTGAGTCTGTGCTGCTCTCAGGGAAGTGCTGCCTGTGGTTTTTCAGCTGCAGCAAGTTGTCCCAGGCCACCGGCACAATTTTTGCAGCATTCTTGGTTCGGTTCTATTTCCCCGTATGGGAAATCAGTCTGAATGGATAGGACTAAATAGCTGCTTATGGATAAACCCTTCTGTCCTGCTCCTTCTGTTGGCACAGCTTCAGCTGCGGCTAACAAGACCACTGGGCAGGTCAGCTGACTGCTAAAACAAAAGCTGCACAGCAGCAAGGCCTCATCAATCCGCGCCAGCCTTGGCATATTAATAACTGTCAGGATCATGGGGTTGAACACTGTTTCTTTTATGCTGTTGACAACAGCTTGAAGTGGTACTGCCTTGCTGAAAAGATCAATCAGAGGGTGATGGGAGAGCAGTCAAGATTCAAGTCCATGAGTTCCAGTTGCTTTCAGCTGACTTCTGCTTCCATCCCATCGTGCCCTGTGAGAAAAGTCTCAGCAGCAGCAAGACAAAACATGCTAGAATATCATCCCAGGTGCTGACTGCTTAGTCCTTAAAATACAAAGTAATAATCCCAAGCACATGTTTGTAACTGCTCTGGTCTGAACAAAGAAGCATCTGGCTGTGTGCAGCAGAGCTGCCATGAAATACCTATTCTGCAGCTGTTGCTGTGCAAAATGACACACAGCCTGTCTCCAGTCCTTGGGGGACAAATATCTAATTCTAGCTATTGCACAGTATTGCATGAAAGAATTGGTCTGTGTGTTGCTTTTTGTATCCATTTGCAATGGGATGAAAAGCAGAATCAAGATCGTGCAGTGACAGGAATTAATAGCTGAACTGAGAAAGAATCGGGAAACCTGATAGTGGTGCGGGAACGAGGTGTGGAAGCTTTGCCAGGGAGGTGACTGTCTTCACGTACTAGTCTGACTGCCAGAAGGCTCCCGTGGTGGCTTGCTACCTGGGTCCTCCTTCGTTCAAATTGGCTCATGCCTCTTGGACAACACCGCTACCCAATTCTGCACAAAACTGTTGCAATTTTAACATTGGGCTGATGTACTGACACCAGGCTGAGTGTTGCTGGTAGCTCGGAGCGGTGTCCCTGCCAGCTGCCACCGAGCTGCCTTACACATCAGGCACGCATGTGCACTTGGAAAGGGAAGGTGGAATTTGGCAGAACAGCGGCTGCAAAAACAACTCGAGCTTGCAAAGAGAGAAGAGTACTGGTGGCTGGTGTTGGCAACATGAGTCCCGAGTCCCTGGTGAGATGACGGCTGCAATTGCCTTGGCTGCATAATAAGTTTGACATGGGATCAAGGGAAGGAATACAACAAAATAAAGCAACCTAATTTACCGCAGAAGGGATTTGAGCAAATTTCTGAACCTATTGGAAGCAGATGTAATATTATTTTTAATCTGCTTGAAGTGAATTGCTATTCCTAACAGGATTTTAAAATAGCAACTGCTTCATGATTGTTGTTCTAGGTGGTGCTACCAAATTCATATAGAAAATGTGCTGTCTGGCTTGTATGGGCCTACTGCATGCAGGTTGACTGCCAGGTACTGTTCTTCGGCACCAACAGTGTCCTTCACCTCAAATTAAAATGCCACCTTCATGTTGTGCATCATGGGCTAATCTTTTCTTTTCAGCTCCTTTGGTCTCTGAAACAAGAAAGAGTAACGTTACTTCTTCTATTTCATTCCTTTTATAAAATACTCTCTACTTTTATTGTATTGGAAAGATCAGATATGCCTGTTTGACATGTGAGAACCCAGTGTACAACCCACACCAAATGCTGTGCATGTGTATGTTTGAACACTACCATAGCTTTCAGAAGAGCATTTGAAACTAATGAAGTGTTAAGGAAGGGAGACTTCCACAAGATGTGTGGATTGACTTTAGAAGCTGAAATCAGAGGATTAATATTTGATTGCTCATAGGCATGTTTCACAGTAGCTTTCCTTCCTTTTCAACGGCATCATTTCTGAAAGAACTGAAGGAAAATTCCTTTTTTCTTTAGTGCTCCTCTAGCAATGTATGTGAGCTCTTCCCTCCTGAACGTTTGTACTAACTGTACAAGTGTGTGTATATGCATAGATCTAGAACTGCCAGAGTCTGTCATGATTCAGTTTGCATGATACTTGCATGGAATGAGGAGAAGTGGAGAAATACACACTTCCATGGAGTCTGAATTTCTCAGCGGTGTTCAGCTGGGAGAGAGCTGGATCAACAGCGGGGCGAGGAGTATTCAGTAGCATGTAGTGTATGTATGTGTGCCTCTGGCTGAAAGCACGACGATTGCTCGCATTTGCCAGTATCGGAAATGACTTGTTCCAAGGTGGAACTCATACTGTTGTGGCCTCTACATACAAACCATCGATATTCTTGCTTTAGATTCACCACGCTCTTAGCTTTCTAACGTTGTTTGAATAGTTACCAGGGTGATGCTTAAACTGGAAATGTTAAGAGCAAGGCTCTTTTTCATTCGGGCTGCAGTTACGGTTAAAGCTGAGCTCCAAGAGGAAAGCAGCCTGTTCTGTCTAAAGTGTCCTGCAGCTCTGCTGTTTGCTTCCACAGGTGGGATTTTGAAAAAAAGTGCGAAGCTCTTTTTCCGCCGGCGACATCATCAGAAGGATCCAGGAATGAGTCAATCGCACAACGATCTTGTCTACCTGCAGCAGCCACTGTCAGAGGAAACGCGCAAGAAGGGAGGCACGCTTTCACGTATTCTGAACAGAAAGCTCCTTTCAAAAAACAAAAGCAAGAACAAACTGAATGGTGCTTCGGCAGAACCATACGTATAAGACTGAACACTGTCTGATGGGATACTTGCACATCAGTTGACCATTTGTTTACAGAGCAGCACTAGAGAATACAAATGTGGCTGATGACTTGCATAAAATCATGTTCACTAATACAGTGGTCCAGGAATAAACAGAAAGCTTGTCTTTTTTGTTTATTTTTCCAGAACGCTTTTTCTCTCTGATTGTAAAGTTGCTCCTCCAAATACAAGCAGCGCTAACTGTATCATGACAGCTTTTGGAGGACCATGTGGTTTATTGTAGAAGATGAGGGAGGATGGGGAATGATGCAGGTGGGGAGGACCTGCATGTAAGCACCTAGTTTACGTTAACGGGGAGCTAAGGACTGAAACATCATACCTGCTATATGACTGAACCACTATAAAGAGAGAAGATACCACTGTGCTTCCTTACTGCAGCCTGGAATAGTAGCAACGCAAGTCTCAACTTCTTTTTCTAGTCAGCCTGAAAGGGAAAAGAGAGACCCAGATCCAGTTTGTATCGTAATTTGGAAACGGGTAAGTTTTCAGAAGCAGAACTAAAATGCTGATTAAGATAGCCTACTGTAGTAACTGTAGCCTGCTGTAATAACTGCTCAGTCCATGTAGGTGGAGAGATGCCTTTGATATTAGCCATAAATCAATAAATTATGCAAATACTTATACTAGCATATTGTTTGATGTTCTGTGCATAAGTTATGCTTAAAAAAACAGAACGTTTTTTAAAGTCTACTTGAGTCTACTACTCGCAAACAAAACATTTACAAATTCTTATATGTAGCTTTTCTTCCCTGTGTGAGAAGCTGCGTTGCTGATGCAAAAACCTATCTTAGGGGCTCTAATTCCTTCTCCCAAGTACTTGCTAGACAAGTATATTAACCATCATATCAAATGCAAAGCTAGGAGCAATAAGTGATGAATAGAGCATATTTAACCCTGTAATGCTTTTCATTAGACAGCTTGTTTTACTTGCCAAACACTTACTGAGATCTTAGAAAACACAGTTGTGAAGAGAGCTTTTTAAAAAATAACAACAACAATTCCCTTAGTCATCTTTCAGTTTCTAGATCTACCAGTGTCGTCATGTGGTGAGTGGTTGGTTGGGTGAGTTTTTTTACTTTTTTCCTCATTAAATATTGCAGCTGGCTCCTTTAAATTAAAAGGAAAAACTGATGAAAGTAAAGGCATAGTTCTTATTTCGGCTATTAAGAAGAGTAAAATGGCAGTCAGTATTTCACAGGTACCATCTTTCGTGCATACCTGTACTTTTCCATCACCTACATTCCTACTGAGGACAAAGGACCAAGCCTGTTCTCTTTAGCCAAGAAAAACATCCATTCCATCTAAATTACTGACATGAATGAATGACAGATTTGTGCCTGCTTTGCCGACAGTGATTCCCCCCCCCGCCTTTCCTCCCCTTAAAAGACATCCAACACTTTGGCAGATATTTGGGCTTTCAACTTAAACCATTCTTCAAAAATAGAAAGTCACTGAAGAACAGAAACACATTTCAAAACTTCTGATGGACTCTAGATTCCTTGGTAAATACTTCTATAAAGAATATAAAAGTAGAGGGGGTTTGGTTTCTTTTTTACCAAGAAAATAATGGAAGAAATGAACTGTCACAGTCTTTTAACTGATCCTACTGTTTAAAAACACTGTTTATGTGTAACCTCCTAAAATCACTGTGGTAGTACAGTAGTCCAGACTATTCAAATAGTTGTACATTTAAGCATGCTGTTTATGATGAAAAAACTTGAAGGCATTTTAATATTCTGTATTTTGAAAATTGGTTATAAATTAGTCTTCTAGAGCTGTAACGTGCTTAGAAATCCCAGTTCAGTAATACAGGTTTGTCCAGCTTGAATGTGCTTGAACACTTTTGTTTATTGTTAATTTAACACAAAGTAGAAGTTAGGTTTCTTCATTTGTTCTACAGTGGTTCATGATACAAGCATTAAAAAACATGATGTTGTGTTCTCTCAACATACATTTTTTCCCTTGACTTTACTAGGAGCTCTTTGCATGACGGGGCAGGGTGGGGGGTCAAATCCCTGCCTTGTTTTAAATGCTCAGTCTTGTTTGCTGAAGGAGAAACCCACAACTGGTCACTGAGTTCAAGAAATCAAAGTGAGACCGAGCTCCATGGGTAGCACCCCCTTACACTAACAGCAAAGAGCTGTGGGATTGGGAATGTAAAGGGGGCACGTAACACTACTTGAAGTCTGCTTAAAGTACTGAACTGGGATTTCAATTTCCAGAAGCTTTATCACGTACTGTAGAATGGGGTGGAAATAACACTGAATAACGTGCAGAATACAGAAGTAGGGTTTGCTTGTAGCTTACCCCAAGGAACAGATACACACTGAAGTGGTTTTTTGGTTCCTCTTTCTTAAGGTCTTGGTGATTGCCTAAATGCGTGTCTTGATGGCGGGAACGAGAACGTTCTATACTGCAAACTGTGTGAAGGTTTGGGCTTGCATATATTGAGAGAGAATGAGGAAAGCAAGGCATTTGGGGTAAAAAGGGAATCCTGTTTTTTAATTGCCTTCGCTCCTCAGGAAAATAAGCATCGTTTGGTTTGATGTTTGACCTCCATAGCTGGCTGGTGTGTTCTTCACCCCTTCCTACTACTCTACAAATAATTTATGTCCTGTTGTAAAAACAAACTGAAGTACTAAACACAAAGGGAGAACTGAGTTGCTCAGTCGTGACAACCCCAAAGGCCCATAATATTGAACCCCGTTCCCACCTTCTGAGACGATTAGGTTGTCATTTAAGATCAGGGGATCCGAGTATGTACATTTTTTGTGTACTAGTGTTTAGGTCAGTGTGAGTTGGGTCCTGACAACCAGCGGGAGCTATGCTACAGGTTTGGGTCGGGAAGACTGGATTTGTAAACTGGCATAACTAACACTGCGACGTACCCTGTCAGGTGCTGCATATCTCCTGTGCAGTTGTGTGAAGGATGCTGGAGGGAATAATTTTGCTCTTTTATGTTTTGCAATCTTCGTAATTGTAATAACTACACATTTGAACAGTAGAACAAATCTCTGCTTGATATTACACTGAAAACTTCTTGTTTTCTGTCTTCCAATTTAATTACTTCAGAACAATAGCTTGGAAACAATCTGTGAAATCTTTCTTCCTTTTTGCCCCTTTTCTTACACTTTTGTGTTTCTGGATGTTCTGTACAGCAAAGGCGGCGTGGTATTTATTTTATGAGGACTAAGAGATGAAGGCTTGCTTTTCTGTTCTAAAGAATTTTTCTGCCCATAACTGAACCTTCTTAATCTGTACTTGTGGTTTGTTTTGCTTTATGGCATTTTAGCTTTTCATTTGCCTTGATGGAGACAACCTGCATCCTTACCTAACGAAGATTTGCCTTGGCTTTAGTGTGAATTTTGACCGAGTAAGTACTACAAGAGTTAAATTTATCTTTGTAGATTAAAGCAATAAAATTTCCTAATACTTCAGGTGTGAATACAAGCTAGGTAACTTTCCTAAAGTGACTAAGATCACTTTAAAAGTCACTTTAAAGAGGAGGGGGTCCTTTATCCCTCGGTCACTGGTATTTCTTATCCAATTCACCCCAGGAAGAAATGACAAGTCATTTCACTCCTAACTATATATGAAATTTGTGAATCTTAGGTGGCAGGAAGGAAGAAGGAATGCCTTTTTTTTAGTAGTGAAAAAAATTTCATATTCATTTAAAAACCAAAATACCTTTGGCAAGCTTCTTTGACTTAATGGACAGGTCATAAACTGTGCAGGCATAAATACTGGGCTTTATTCTTATGCTTTCTGTTAGATTTTCTTTTTCCTCTGCTCTTTCTTTGGGAGAGAGGTTGGGGCTCCAGGTTATACAGACCTGTAGTTACTGTCTGGCTCTTGAGAGGACTTGGCTTCCAGCGCTGCTTTTTTCGAGGTGTTCTGTTGCCTGGCAATGATACCAGTTTTGAGGATCAGTGAAATTTTACAGCATTTCCTGGTCCTGCATCTCCTCGCTGGTTCTAGGTGGTTTTCAAGTGAAAGCTTTCTGCTGTGTATTTCTTGTAAAGTTTTGGTGTTCTTGATTTGCAAAGTATCATAGGAAAAAGCGAAGTCAACCACATAAAATGCTACCAAATGTGTATGGAGAAGGAAAATAAGAGTCTTGCTCTTGTTTTAACATCTTTTTCAGCTCTGGTAGCTCTAGGTGTTAAAAGCAGCAAGAGCTCTATACAAGATGGGAGCCACATGGCTTTTTCATTTTAGTTTATTGCAGTTTTTGAATTGTAGAGCTGAAGTTTGCGATAAGTGCTTATCTTGGTACAGAATTAAGTATACTGTAGCTCCGGGCTAAGACATTCCCAATGTGAGTGGGAGCAGCTGACCTCATGCTTTGACCTCCACAGGACCTAAGTGGATTTATTCATGTGTTTGAAGTCAGCATATGCTTCTGTACATTGCTGAGCCACAGCCTTGTTGACAAACAACTCAAGATTATAACAGGGGTGATTACTTTAAGTTAGGGGTGAATAATATCATTTCACTCAGGATATCCAAACTGTTACTATGCAAGGTGCTGGCATGGTGTGAAAATAGCTGATAAGGATGGGTCCGAGGTCTTTCCAATACTATAACTGTGTATTTCCCAATAATGTAGTATGCTCTGATATTCCAGATGGGGTAAAACATTTTTTTCTAGCATTCAACTGTGATAGTCACTTCTTCTGTGGTGGGGTTTATTTTCTTTTTTCCGTGTGTACACAAAATTAAGTTGGTGCAATTAAGAAGTCTATGATGTACAGATTTATTGTATCACTAAAAAGCCTGAGAAGAGGATTTTTTAAAGAAATAACTACTGCTGTACGTACAATAAAAGCCAATTGTCTCTGTGTAGCGTGCTGTCCTACATACCTAGTCAGCCAAGTGTAACAGATGGTTTTCTACTCTCCTTCACTAATTTGACCTGTTGCTTAACACAGTCCATTTACCTGTTTATTCAGGAGCGGAGTTCTCCACCTACGCTGTGCTGACACTGTGGGTTGTTTCTGATAACCCCGGCCATATCAGGTAGCCCCTTCTTGTTCTTTGAGAAATCGCCTGAAACATGGACTCAGTGGGAATCTAACGAAAGAAGGAATTGTGGAACTCATTGTAGTTACTCGTTATTTTTTCTCTCAGTTATGTTGTATTATCCTGAAGCCATTTGTAATTTTGGGAGCAAAGGGGGAGGAGTCTTAGGGCCTAGATCCTATATAGAGGACACCAGTACTAAATGAGCACAGCCTGGGAATAAGGTTCTCCTGCAATCATTTTACTGAAAAAGTTATGTTCTAAATTAATGCTGCCACAAAGTCCTACCAGACTGAGGGGAAAAAAAACCCAACAAAATCCACCAAAAACAGGCATTCACATGAAAATGCCCACGATAGTGGTTTTATTTCCCTTCCCAGAGTGAGTGTTGTACCTTCTTTTGCAAGGAAATTGTATGTTACCTTACCGGGAGTTACTGCCCACATTTCTATGCCTGTTCATTTCATATCCTTGAGGTGCTTAGCTGAAATTTCCTAATAGTCTCCCAACAAACCTTCTCACTTTTCCTTCCTGCTCTAATCTTGGCTGAGGTTTTATAACCTGTGTGATGCCATTCGTGTATGCTAGCAAAAGTGACAAGACCTATCAGAGCGAGAGCAGGAATAGATGTAGCACTAAGTCTGGCACCATACTCTTTCCTCCAGTTCATCATTCTTAAACAATGAATGGAAGGGATCTTCGTTTTGTTTCATCTCTCTACCCCAGTGAGCCCTGGTGTAAGGTGCAAGTTCACAGTCTGATGTTAACTCTGCAGAAAGGTAGGAGTACTGACAAAAAAAAAAAAAAGAAATCATGGACTTGTTGGAGTGGGTCCAGAAGAGGGCCGCGAAAATGATCAGGGGGATGGAACACCTCTCCTGTGAAGAAAGGCTGAGAGAGTTGGGGTTGTTCAGCCTGGAGAGGAGAAGGCTTCGGGGAGACCTTATTGCAGCCTATCAGTACTTAAAAGGGAGCTGCTAAGAAAGATGGCGGCAAACTTTTTAGCAGGGCCTGTTGCGACAGGACAAGGGGGAATGGCTTTAAACTAAACGGGGGTAGATTTAGACTAGATAAAAGGAAGACATTTTTTACGCTGAGGGTGGTGAAACACTGGCACAGGTTGCCTGGAGAGTGCCCCATCCCTGGAAACATTCCAGGTCAGGCTGGACGGGGCTCTGGGCAACCTGGTCTAGTTGAAGATGTCCCTGCCCACGGCAGGGGGGGGTGGGCTAGATGACCTTTAGAGGTCCCTTCCAACCCAAACTATTCTATGATTCTATGATTTTGGAGCTGCAGGATCCAGACTTGGATGCATTGTAAATCCAGACTGCCATACAGATAACTATTCTGAATTAGTTAATACTTATTCTGACAAAGTGAACGCACTGCAAGTAGGATAATCACCCTTGTGCACTGGATGCTGGAGAAACCTAGGCGGAGGCCCAAAGACAGCATTGTGAATGTCAATATGCACTGAGATGTACAGGGAAAATAAGTAAAAGCAGACTATAAAAAACTAAAGGCCAGTTGGCTTCGGTCTTTGAAAAAGCAAATGACCTGTACATGCGGTTAGATCCTTGAAAAATTCCCCTTACTACTCCTCTGCTCACTGAAAACTTCTGGTGAGTCATTTTTGAAGAATAAAACGGTTCCCCCTCCTTAAATTAACACTGTTTTCCCAAGAAGCAACATTTTCAAAATTCAAATGCTGCATTGTTTCAGTTTACCCAAGCACTTAACAAGAAGAGAGTCACAATACTCTCTGCACATCCCTCTTGAAACTGGGTACTTGTGCAGAAGGGGACGTGGGATGGGTGAGGTAAGGTGAGGTGAGAAAGGGCCTGGCCTTAACCGTTAAAGACAATTAACACTGTTTTCCCAAGAAGCAACATTTTCAAAATTCAAATGCTGCATTGTTTCAGTTTACCCAAGCACTTAACAAGAAGAGAGTCACAATACTCTCTGCACATCCCTCTTGAAACTGGGTACTTGTGCAGAAGGGGACGTGGGATGGGTGAGGTAAGGTGAGGTGAGAAAGGGCCTGGCCTTAACCGTTAAAGACGGTAGTCGTGAGGAGAGGACCTCCCCTGGAGAGGGCAGAGCTGGCGCCTGCTTTCCATCATCTTTGAATCTTCAGGGCTGCTCTTACTGTGGAGACTGGCCAGTCACACCGCAGCGGCAGGGAGCGCTGCGTAAGGCTGTGGGGGAACGCCATTGTGGGCGACGCTTCTTACCGGTGGAAAAAGTCGGGGCATCTTGCTTGAACACGAAAAGCATAAGTACTTCTTGGCCCTGGCCTCTGCCTCTGAAGGGGTGCTCTTGGCTGCACGGCGCACCTTTCAACTGGGAGGGGGGCGAGCACCGCAGTAACCCGAATTGGGCGTTTAAAACCCCTTGAGCTGAGGGCACCGAGTCCGTGTCCTTTTGTTTCCTGGGCACCAGGTCTCGGCGGTAGCCCGCGACATAAAAAAATAGGCATCGCCGGTTGTTCCTGAATGGTATGTGCGGCCGTGCTCTTTGCTGTCGACCACAGCGGGGCTGGGCCCCGATAACACCCCGGTAACGCAGGGCTGACGGGACTTGGGAGCGCTGACCTTGTTAGCCCCAACGGGCCTCGGGTACTGAGGAGACAGGCACTCAGGTACTTGTTCGGGGCTTGACTGGGGAAAAAATCTGCCTGCTGTGTGCCCGATGTGGAGTTCCTGTGAACCCTTAACGCCTTTTGGCAGACCGGTTGTGGGACTCCCACCTCGCCGCCGACACCGTCCAGGAGGAGAAAGGAAGAACCCGGGTTGTGCAACGACGGGTGCTACGCCAGGTTCAACGGCAGCCACCCTCCTCCTCCAGCCCAGCCCAGCCCAGGGCCGAAGCGCCGCGCCGGCCGTGCGGAGGGGCGGTACCGGGGGACCCGGCCGG